GACTTAGATAATATTGTTTATATCAATTAACTTTAACAACCAAATTATAAAATAACATGACACTAATAACAATCAAAAGGTAATTAATTACAAAAATATGAGCTACTATTATTTTATGGGTTGACATGCAACACAATACAATCTTTTTTATTATTTTTTGTCAACATAACACAAATGTGAATATAAGTTAACTCAAACACCAAAATTTCATATCATATTTGTATTATGTCACGGGGTCAAGCACTCCATCTGTTAACTTTTTCTAAGCTAAGTATTATATCTCTTAATATTTCTTGCTATTAGAGTCTTCCAAATATTATCTTAATCTTGAAAAAGAAACTTTAGTTTTTGTTATGCAAACAAATTTTGTTGCAGATGATTATTTTAGCAAATCTTCCTTCCTTAATTATACAACATTCTAATTAGCTCTTAAACTATCTTAATGAGTTACATTTCCTGCAGGTGGCTTACTTAAATCTCCACCATCATCTAAATTGTCTTGCTAATCATGTTTTATTGTATCCACCATCTATTTTGTTACATTAATAACATGTTCGTGTATTATTCTTAATTCCATAATTTATTGGTCAAAATATATTTTTAATCTCTATACAAAAACAATTAAATATGTATAATTATTTTTAGTTTGAACTTTGTAGTCTCCGTTACAATTTATTAGAGTTATTAAATAGAAAATTGAAAATACCAAATTAAAAATAAATGTCATGTATAAAAGTTAAAAATAATATATTTTTGTTTTTTATATGTGATAGTCATTTTTAATTTGATCCGTGTGTTTTCAAGTTAATCCATATCAATTGCATAGTATTACAACGGTAACAGAAACAAAAATCAACATTAAAATACTTATATATAAAAATTAAATTGAAAAATCAATGTAAATTAAAACATTTTTAACCTAATTTAAATTAATCAAATTTTATTTGCAAGGCGTTGCTTCTCTTCATTCTTTGTTTTTCCTTTTGTTGTGATACTGTAATCCTAAGTTACATGTAGCACTCTGTTTTAGAACCGGTTTGTTAGCATCACATATGACATTAATCACAGTTATAATCACAAAAATTGAATTATAATACGGATAAATTTTTTCCTTTTTCATTAATAAACATTTCTGTTTAAAATCAATTCCGTAATTAAAACAATTCCAAAAACTGTAACCATAACTTAAATAATATGAGGAACACTTAAGGTTAATTTAACCATGCCATACATCGCTCCCCTAAAATGCCAAGTAGTCCCCTTAGACCAACAAGACTTAAAAACTCATTTGTATTGATATTCAACACTAAATTCTCTTCATGTTTTATTTTCTCAAGGAATTCTATACTTGCTTTATGGTTCTCATCTCCCACTATGTTATAGATCTCCTCATTAGCTACGCGTAAGTTCAAACCGCGTTTAATTTGGAGTACTGTAGCTCAAGTTATGAATTTTTGAAAAAAAATGATGTTGAATTTCGCAGGGTCCCGCGCTAATAGTGCCACAACACTGACTTTTCCTTGTCTTACGGCATCGTCATCGCCATCTTGGCGCCAAAAGTGCCACGATTCTGGAAATTACACTCTATTCTGGTATTTCACCCATAACTTGAGTTATACTTAATCGATTGATGCAATCTTGATCTCGTTGAAAAATTAAGAAAAAGATCTATAACTTCCATTAAGACACAATGGTCCAAACCTATCATATAGAACATGAAAAATGGACAACAAGACATAATATCTTTATATTTACATTAATTCTCAACCTAAATGTCTTCTTTTACCTAATTGGCATTGTATAAATACTACAAGACATAATCCTTACAATTGTAAGACACACATTTATCAAAATAGGCATCCATGCCCTTCCATCATATATACAATAAGTACAATATTAGACAATCTCCAAATGTCTTTAATATATAACCATGAGACTTTGCTACAAAACACTATGATCAAATCATTGGCTCCCATCAACAACATGAGACACCAAAGGAGGTGAGCATAGGCTAAGTCCATCAAAATATATAATGATGTACACATATCAAATGGCTATGAAATGTAAATCCTATACATAGGAACTACCAAATGACATGCTTAACCAAAATAATGCAACATCCTCATATATTAATCTAGCCCAAGTATGACCACTTGCCACCAGAGGCTCCTGTAGTATTTGTACCTGAAAGGGAATCCCCACAACACAAGGTGAAATATACAAATATACCTCAGTAAATCAGGGATCCTTGGAGCATTTCTTCACCCCATAGTTCACTAACAGTATAATAGCAATAACAGTAAATACATATCTATGCAGTGTGTCAAACATCTCTAAGAGACATCCCTCGAGCTCTCAAGCTGTCATAAGGATACTTAGATGCAAATAATCTTACTGGCCAACTAAACTACCAAGTATGAGTTACGCATCGACATGCAACATACAAAACATAGGGAAACACCATCCTATGTCACACCAGTGTATACACATACGTATAACAAAGCATTAAACTACTTTATTGCATTTACATATACTATCAACAACCACTATCCATTCAAGGCTTGATGGAACAATCAAGGGATCAATTCCCAAGATCCAAAGGCTTACCCTAATTGCTTCCAATCTCAACCTTTGCTCACCACCAATGTGCAACATCAAACTTCACAATTAATACCTACATCAAGGTATCATACAATCTATGAATACAACCAATTAAGGCCAACATAATCATACAGAACCAAGGCAATCCATTACTGTATACTAGGCATAAACTCACCAATTCAAGTGAGCTAGTCAAGCTCCAAGGCTTCCTCCAATAGTTGATCACTCACAATTGGTCCATTTGGCTCAATCCTAACACCAAAATGAACACAAATCAAACATACTACCAACCAAGGGCTCTACATGCAAGAAATCACAATTTCAAGCATAGATTTTCCCAAAATATTGAACAATAACCAACTGATAATCTAAGTCAATTTCTACCATTTATTTATCATTTGTAAAGGAATTTAGCTTCAATCTAACTCAAACTCATAAAATCACAAATTCACTATTCATCATCTTCAACCTCATGCAATCTCCATGGAAACAAGGTTTGAGAAGTGAAAACTTACCCCAAAAGATCACACAACCAAGGAATGATGGTCTCCTAAGCTCCCATGGAAGAAAATGTCATTGAACTCCTCAAATCACCTAGTGGGTCAAATTCTTGGAAATGAGATATCTCTCTCCACAAAGCTTCTCACTCAAAACTAAGCTTGGATTCACAAAGAGAGGAAGATTCTAAGTGATTTTGACTTTGGAATGGATTGATTTGGATGAGAAATTACGAAGCTAGGGTTTGGGCTTCAAAATTAGATTCTCCACTCCTCTCCCTTGCTTGTCCGTCGAAGAAGAACAAGAAGAAATGAGTGGATTTTCATTTGTTTTACCACTTACCATAGGTTAGTTATTTTAACTGGGTAAAAACTTATTTATCTATTTAACTATGTTCACTTCCAAAGTTTTAAATATTTTTTTATGAACATTTCTCATTTTACTTTTATATTTTGGGTACTTTTTCATAAACACATTTTTACTCCATAATTTTCACTGATTGCAATTTTTACATCAAAAGTGACCCTATTTATTTAATTAAATATTTTACCTAATTCAACACACTAATACAAGAATAGTTACCTAATTACATGCAATTAATTAAATCTTATGGTGAGAGATACTATATTATATATCATAAATTTTACGTATACATTTTATTAAATACTAATTTCAGCTGTGTATAATATTAGTTAATAACAAATAAGTACTCTTCACCAAAAAAAAAAAAACAAATAAGTACCCTCTCCCATGCACAGGACAGGGGTATACAAATTTTGACTAATAAGTAAGAAGTAAATTAAATTGAACTAACGTGGAATTATAATTTATGCATTTGATAGTGACGTTATTTGAAAGCTTTTCCCATATTCTTTTTCACATGGACAACAGTACATAAATAAATATTACTGCAACTTCGAAACATGAATATAGTTTTGCATAACATTTAATTTGGAGACAACCAGCATCTACGTAGTTGAAGAATTTAGCTCAACAAATATGTAATTAGAAGAATAAAAGTGATAATAATAATAATAATTATGAATTAAAAAAATTAAGAGTTAATATCATGATAAAAGACATATAAATTATGAATTTGTTAAATTTATTTTCTTAATTTTTAATTAACAGTTATAATTCTATATTTTATCTTTTAAATATATTGTTTTAGAAAAACCAAATTCTTTGTTGAAAGCTTCCTATTTCTTAGTGTTTCTTTTTTGTCTTCATTTTGGAATTACTTCCTGGCCCAGTTAAAAATGAAAACAAAGTTGGATACTTGGGGGCCGTTTGTATGGGTTTCTCAAAAAAAAAAAATATTTTTTTTTATGTCTTGCTTATTTTAAAAATATATTTTAAAAAAATAAACCTATTTAAATTTACAAAAATATTTAATTTTTGACAATTCAATTGCTTGGTTTTTAACAAATATAATAATAAATGAGCTTTTAAAAGAAGAAAATAAATATTATGTCGTCTGCACTCCAGATGTACTGATTACAAACTAAATTTTTTATTTAAACAAAAGGGAGTTTCCACAAATTCTGACATTCTGTAACATCATCTTGCTGGGTATTTTCAGATTAGTAACTCAAACTTTTGCTTTGTTCATTAACATTCATTTGTCCTCTTTTAGGTGAATTTCTAATATACACTAAGGTGGCGTTTGACAGAGTAATTTTTTTTTGCTTGGTTAAAGCTTCTCTTCCATTAGACATTTTATACTGAAAATTCTCAGACTCAGATTACTTTTCCAAATACATAATATTTTCGCTTGGAAATTAGAAATATTACCAGGTAAACAAGAAAAACATAATACTTAAAGCAAACAGAGGATTACATGATATCTTACAATCCAGGTAAGGGGTTTCATGATATCTTAAAGACAGAACACACAAAAGTACATATAATAATATGGATTATATTTATCTCATTCAACATAAGATAAATCAAATTCTTACACACACATAATAAAGATGGATCCCACCTCTATTTTGTCTCTTTCCAATTATTTCTGGGTCCCTCTTATAATTTTGTGTCACTAAAATGAGATAACCTATCTCCATTAACATAAGAAAAACATTTCCCTAATAATATATAGCCAAGCACACAACTTTTAACCAAAAAGACAGAGAAACATTATCCGTTTAACCAGAGATTTCTATGGCCTTAACATCAGTCTTCTTGACCTCTTCCTTCGGAAGAGTCACAGTAAGAACCCCATTTTCCATGGAAGCTTTCACTTGTTCCATTTTGGCATTCTCTGGCAACCTGAACCTCCTCATGAACTTGCCACTGCTACGCTCCACTCTATGCCATGTGTCATTCTTGTCTTCTTTCTCAACGTTCCTCTCTCCAGTTATCTGAAGAACCCTGTCATCTTCAATCTCAACCTTCACTTCCTCCTTCTTCAGACCAGGAAGATCAGCCTTGAACACATGTGCTTCTGGGGTCTCTTTCCAATCCACTCGTGTGCTCACAAATGCAGAATTTTCCCGAGAAAATTCAGGGACGGAACCAGAAAGAGAATTGGGAAAAGGAAAATCCTTGAAAGGGTCCCAAACGTCGAGGGAGAATGGATCGACAACGTTGCTCCTTCGCCCACCGCAGAAACGTGGAATCAGTGACATCTTCACTTCTTCCCTTAATTGAACTCTGGATATTTAAATTGTTAACAAAGAACCGCTTCTTCTTTTTGGTGTTCTACAGAAGGACACACAACGTATTTATAAAAACAAAGAAGTAACCGGTAATTTCCAGAATATCCTAATAATGCCCATTGATTTACCGTCTCTGAAAATTCGACAACCTTCTAGACTTTTCGGCACAATTCCCAACCCAGAAGGGTCTAGATATTACTGTATGACTTCATTATTTATCTGGCTTGGGTTTTCAAGCCCAAATTATTTGTGTTGGGCTAAAAGAAAATAGTGGTGCTTAATAGGGCCTTAGTTTCTTTCGCATCTTTGGGCTCAACCCATGTTGTAATGCTAATAGGGCCTTCCTAAAAATACAAAATATAAAACTAATTTTTAGCTTGTTATAATTTTCATCTTTTTTTTTTTAAATAATGTTAGTAATGCAAATGCATTTGTTTTTAAAATCTCAGGCATGAAAAACTGCTCTTCATTACATTACATTGCTAGTATAGTGATAGTCAACTAGACCTCAAGATTTGACTTGTGAAAAGAGTATTGAGTTTTAATTCTGAGAGCCGCAACTTCTGAGGATGGTAAATGACTCAATCTCGAAACCAATGTTTAAAAACTCGGTCCAGCCAACGATTCGGCCGAGGTCAGGGGTCACGGATTCAACCGGAGTATCACGAGGTCATTTTACTGACTCGATTTTATACATTAAAAAAATATAAATATATATCTTGTATGAAAAATTCAAAAAAATCAAACCATCAATTATCAAAGATTCAAAATATACTTAATATAATTCAACCAATTACATCCACAAGTCAATATTACACAAGCTAATCAAAGTATCAAAATATAAAACACATATTCCAATGGAGTTAATGAAAAGTTATATCATCCCTTATGCTTCTCACGCATTTACAACAACATGTGAAAGGAGATCCTTTATCCAAAAGCAAACGACGAAGGAGAGGTGGCGGCGCGACGAATCAATGGTAAGGAGAAAAGAACTAACACGGCAGAGGAGATCACCGGATCAGGGAGACTGAGTCTAGGTTTGGGAGAGAAGATTGGACGAGAAGAATAATAATGATTCAGATTTCATATCTAATTCTAAATCTAGGCAAATCGAGTTTTTTTTACATCAAACAACGCCTTTTCGTGAGTAAATTTTTTTTTAAAAAAAAAAAATACAGTGACCCCCTTTGACCCAAGAGTCATGGGTTCAACCGCGGGGTTTCGGAGGTCAGAGAGGTCAATGTGCATGTAGAGTCTAACTGCTGATCCCAACCCTCAGAGAGAAGGGGTCAGTGACTCGGCGGGATGGATCCCGAGACGAGACGGGGTTTTAAAACATTGCTCGAAACTAGATTAGTCAAACATGTTAGGGTTTGTGACAATAATTGGTATTAAAAAAAATTAAATTAAATAAAGGTCAACTAATTTGTGTGGAGTGGGATTATTGCTTGCTTTCTTAACTTCTTCAAAGCAATTATATAGTTATTACTCTAAGCTATAAACCTACTCAGACTATTAGGCACATTTCATTAATTTTGTCTTCAAGTTTGCTTGGATAAAGAGAGTGACCATACCTGCAATTTCAATTTAATTCTTAGGGACCAAAAAATATTTCATTTACTTGATTATATAAGTGCCCCTAGTAAGTTCGAGCTTTGACTATGTCACTATCTTTATGAGAAGTGATTGCCCCGTAAAATTCTAAAGTGCGTTTGTATAAGTTTTTTTTTTTAAAGTACTTTTATGATACAATTTTTTAAAATCTTTTTTTTTTTCTAGCTTGAGAAGCAAACGGTAAGGGTGTGTTAGAATTAGCTGTGAAAACATTTTTTCAGTAATCCGTTATATGTATAATCAATTATTGTTACAATCAATTATAATAGAATAAGTTTTATTTTAGGATATGTATGTCGATAAACTATTTTAGGATAATTAGTTTCATTTTAGATTATGTAAAAAAAAGTCACTTTTATACAGTAATTTTTTTTTGAAAAAATATGTAGTATGTTTTGCATTCTAAGTGCTCAAACATTATGGGGTTAAATGGGAAATGGGTAGCTAGATTCGAAATAAAGAGATGATTTTTTTTTTTTTATAAACAAATAAAGAGATGAATTATATATTCCATAGTGTTAAAAATTTTGCTTACGAAGAAAAAGCTTTTTACTATAGTAAAAAAAAACTTCTTATCACTTATGTCAGTTTTAACTAAACATCTTAATTTTATGAGATGTGATATTATACCTATTTTTTTTTATGCCTATTATACCTAATTATTTTTAACACCGTTAGATCATAATATTAAAAAGAGAGAAAAATAATGAAGGTTAAATGAGATTCTAATCTAATAGTGCTAAGAATGAGTAAAAGCATAAACAAACAGAAAGAATAAGTTCTAATCTATTTTGAATTTTTATTTTTTTAAAACATTATCCAGTTGCCTTATTAATTTTTTTTAATTAACAATAACTTTTTCCTTCTAAAAAGCATAAACAAACAGAAGCTTTATGATTGATTTCTATTATTCTATTCACCCATTTGAACTCATGAATTTAACTTAATTTCGGGTTGACAAGCTACAATTTCTTCAATAGCAAAACATCTAACCTAAATTAAAGACTTACCGTACACAGGTTAACAGGTTTCATCAATCTGCCCATTTTGGATCTGGTATATTAATGAAAATAAATAATACACATGCAACTTCTGTTTATTCCTTAGTCTAGCTTACCCACTCCAAGATTTTTAGAGTAAAATTATTGTTTACAAATTTTTGTCAATAAAAAAAATGAAAAGAAGTACGATGAAATTTAGATAAAGAAAATAAAAATTATGTTGTTTTAAAAAATGGACTGATAACCATCTTTACTCTCTAAAGTGGATTGGAGAGTGAAAATAATGTCTGGGTTTAATCTTCATTTTAGATCATTTATCTCCTTCTATGTGTTTATACACCCAATATGAAAACACTAAAAACAAATAACGTTTTTATCAGGGGAAGAATATTGTAACAATCAATTAGTGTTACTACCAATGTTACTATCAATCAATTTCACTGTTAGATCGATTATGTTGATCTAACGGTTATATTTATTTTCATTTTTGTATGGTTATGATTCCTCATATTTAATAATTTATATTTATTTTCACCTTTGTATGATTATGATTTTCCATATTTAATGCTTTCACATTAAATATGAGAAATCATAATCATACAAAGATAGAAATAAATATAACCGTTGGATCAACATAATCGATCTAACGGTTAAATTGATTGGTAGTAACATTAGTAGTAACACTAACTGGTTGTTACAATATCCTACCCATTTTATCAAAACTAAGAAAAATAAAATAATATAAAAAACTATTAAAAGTGATATGAAGCTGATTAATCATTCTCATTTGGAAGCTTCATTATTAATGTACACTCTATAATATATAGCTACGGTGTGGAGTTTTAATCAGATCGATTATCAAAGCTGATTTTCAAATTCTCAAAATTTTCATTGTTCTGGGTGGGCGCATATATGCAAACAACCTAATTTTAAGTTTCATTTTTATTTTTCGTAGTAGCTAAATCAAGTTTTCTGAATTGATTTGATGTTAAAGGATTACACCTTCGAAAGCTGGAAAATTGATTGTAGTCTTATTGTCGTATAAAATTTTACTAAAAGTAATTGGTTCTAGCCTTTTCCTTTGCAGTTCCATTACTCTAATTGAAAATAGATTCTTTTACGTGTTATTTAATATGATTATATCATTTAAATTTTGTTTAATCATACAAGAGGAATCAATGGTGATAAAGGATGATAGAAAAAAAATATTAAAATAGAAAATTATAAAATCATCACCATCAACTTATTAATTGATGATTAAGATTTTCTCACATGTTATGATCGAGATGATTCTCACATCACAAATCTATATATAAGATTCAAAAGATTTCAAAATTTGGGACAAAATACTTTTTTCTTTTTTTCAATTGAAATAGAATGTTACGTGTTATGGACCGAATTATTGGGCTTTATTCCAGGTTTATATCAAGACAAAATATCACTATCGCAAAATATCTACACAATTATATCAAATAATTATTATTTATTTTAGGGAAAATTTTAAAAATCTCCTAGTACTTTTCTCATAATCATTTATCTTCTCCCAAAATTTTTAAATCATTTACCCAATGTTATTAAAATCGGTCCGGTCATTGACCCATCGAGGTACTGGGTCACCGAGTCACTAGTTTAGCCAGTGGGTCACTGGTTCAAACGCATGACCCGGTAATTATATACAATTTTATAATTTATATTAAAAAATTATAAACATACTCAAATATCTAAAAAATGATAAAAATCTCAAATATTTTAATATAAAAAATAATAAATTAAATATTATTATCCAATAAAAGATCAAACAAAAATATAATGATCGTGATATGGGGCTTTAGGTTCAGAAAATAACATCTCTAACTATAAATCAAATCAAAATTTTCTGTATAGTGTATAATTGAGATAATATTAGTGTTGTAGGTACAAAACTTATGTAAATCAATAAACAAAAAAATATTAAAATGTGTCCATTATGATTTTTTTTTGAAAAAAAATTTAGATTTTTTTTTGGACCTGACCGGGTCGCCGGTTAACCGACCGGGTCACTGATTTTCATGAAAACCGGCCGGGTCGCACCGGGTCGCATCGGTTCTGATACATGACCGGTCCGTTGCTTCAACCGGACCGGTTACATGACCGGTTTACCGGTTCCCGGGTCGGTTCGGGTTTCTTAACACTGCATTTACCCCCTGAGTGAATGGGATAAGTGATAAAAAATTTTTAAATAAAGATATAAATGATTCAAAAAATTTGTAAGTGTACATGCACTGAGACCTGCCATTTACAAAAAAAATAAAAAAAAGAATGTCACAATTTTTAATGAGTCTATTAAAAATAAAATTACTTTTATATTACATAAGAGTAATTTTTCCCTTAGTGTAAACACACTTCCCTCTCATTATAATTACAAAAACACATTGATTTCTGTCCAAAACGACGTC